CACACAGCTTGGTGTCGTCGGCAAGAGTTGTTAAAAACCAAATAATCTGCATCCCACTCTACCTCTCACCTGATGAGCTGGTACTTCATAACTGCTGCACAAGTTACACCAATTATAGTGAAGGCAGTACCTATAATACAAAGCCATCTACATCTTCAGCACAGAAAGTTCTTCAAGGGAAACAACCTCCTCTTCTCAAAAGAGAAGAAAACACTAACATTCCAGTGTTAGGTATACAAGACTGAATACTAAGTTTTAGTCTCAAAGTGCCCAAACAAATGAAAGTAAACCACATGATGAGGTCAGAGACAGCTGGCCATTCCAGCAATTCAGCTCTGAGATGACAGTAAGGTTTTCAGATACTTAAGGCTGAAGTTTCTGACATGTAGCACACAAGAACAACTTTGAATGTGGAGTAGCTGCTGTGTGCCACTATCACTGAGCTAAAAGCCTCTGCATGAACAAGTACCTGTGTAGTTCCCCCTGCTTTGGTGTGCAAGGCCTTCAAACTCATCACAGCATCTGTATAACCAAATGACCTGGGGTTTTCGCTCCTGACTCGTATGTGAAAGCACTGAACTAATGAAGGGGATGCTCACCAAGCAGCCGATCAGATGAAGTGCTGTTTGCAGAGGGAGAATGTATAGATCTAGGTCTCTTGATTTAGAAAGTTGAAGGGTTTACAGATATGGCCAACAGATTTCATCCCAGTTCTGTCAAACATACATACAGTAGAAACTGACAGAGGAATCACAGATACTTCTGGAGTGTCTTGAGTTCTCTTTACCACATTGTAGAGGTGTATATAACATTTTACAAACCTATCTACTAAGCAGGCACACTGTTACGGCAGAACCAATACAGCTATCTGGCAGGTGACAGTAATGCTGTCTTATGCACATTCCAGAGTTAGTTTGCCAGCCCATAATGTCCAGAACTTCTGAATTCAAGGCAGTATCATGCACTACTCTAATAGCTCCAACTGAGGTGCCAAAGAACACCCAAACCCATGAAATAAATATACAGCTCTTTATGGAAAGAGTCACAGTGACAGGGAAATCCTGCCTGGTAATCTCATGCTCACAGTCCAGAAAACCAGGAGCTCCAACTACCACATACTGGTGACTCTTTGCCTCAGAGCAGTAATATCACAACCAAAATTTAAGGAGGATAAAATATTGCCATATGCAGTTAATTTTTGTTCATTGTACTATATTACAAGTACTGTAACAACTGCTTTTCTTTTTGCTTTGCATTCAGCTAGCAGAGCCTGGCCCAAGTTACAGTAACATATCTTACCACAAAAACTTGAGTTATACAGAGTTAAAATTATACATCAAGAGTACAAGAGAAGCTGTTACCTATCAAACGAAACTAGCTGTTCTTTACCGCTCATCAGCCTGGAAGAGATAAATGAGTTAGACTTGCAGACTGCGAGGACCACTTGCAAAACCAACAGGAGTATCTTGAAGACAGAGGCACAGACTGTCCAGAGAGTTCTTTGAGAATGCCACTGCCCCTTCAACTTCCAAATTTTACTTAACTAATTAAGTTTAGATTCATCTTTAGATTTAATTTTTAGATTCAGATCGCCTCTGCAAATCAGAGGCAACTGAGCAAACAAAAGCAGCTCGTCTGTTTACTCAGATTAGCTATCCTTGTTCGTCACTTCCTTTCTCAACAGGTAGCAAAAATTTAGAGCATCCAACAGATAAATGTGTTCCCTTGTAGAAATTAAGAACGCATACTTAACAGAAAGCTCCAAGGCAAGGGGAGAAAAGTTCTTTCAATAGACTTTTTATTACAAATTCTTAGTAGCCACAGGAGTTTGTCAAAAATATAACAGGGAGAAGGTTTGAATGGACATTGGAGATATTAGCAAGACAGAAGCTACAAGAAAATAAAGAAACATAGTGTGAGATTTAAGATGTAATTTAAGGTGTGGTAAGCTTCCAACTGACCTCTTAAATTCTATAGTCTATGGCTGACATCAAGCAAAGAGCAGCCTGCAATACTTTGACTACCCATCTCATCCTCCACAACATTTGCAGCTACCAGGATTCCTTCCCTCCTCTACCAAGACTGACGAGGAACACACTCAAATGATGTCTACTTGCAACATCAGGAACGACAAAACTAATGCACCAAGGCTCAGCTATGAAGTTGGTAGGCAAGCACAAGATGTCTCAAAAGACTTGTAGTGCACTATATCAACACAAAATTCCTATAAATACTTACAGAGATACGGGAGCCAGCTCTCGCCCTTGCTACAGTCTCTTTTTCCTTCTCTGACACTCGCCTCTGTATTGCCTGGAAGTTATTTAAGGCCGCGGAGAAGTCATTCATTAAACGTTCTTTCTGAAGCCTCTGTTGGCGCTGAAGAATTGAAACAAAGACAAGTGTTCAGATATTCTCATTCATGATGAAGGAACTGTCAGACTCTCAAAAAACCCATCATCATAATAACAGCAATAACGAATGCTGGCATTCAAGTGATCTTCTGGTTCCAGCATTCTGGGGCACTGGAGAGAACAAAAAGCCCACCATATTTTAATTTGTTATTCCAAATGATCTACACCTTGCCTACTGCAGAACAGTTTTGTGCAATAAGGTCCTTCAGTCTAGATTTAAGACTGAAGAAGAGAGGTCTTCTACACTATTACTTTTATTCAAATTGCATTCCTGTAATCTACTACATTTAATTATTACATACCTTTTGGATACCTACATGCCTTTACTCTTCGTTTCTCTACCTAGCCAACCTGGTAGTACTTAACTTTCTCTTGTCCTGACAAGAAAAAAACCTTAACTTCCTTACAAATATGGGAAGGCCCACTCCGCCAGAACTAATGACAACACCTATTACCCCAGTGTCATAAGCTGTTGCTCTCAGCCATGCCAACAAGCCTACTGTTATCTGATCAGAGAATATCCTTAATTTGTCCAGAGAACATCCTTAGTCCTGATAACCATTTCAGTTTACCTCTCTCCAAATACATTAGCTGTAATACTCCTTTTCATCCTTATTTTACAATATCAACTTATTTAGCCTCCACAGAATGTCTCCTTTGAGTGTTGTGACATCCCAGTTAAGGGAAACAAGATGTTGTGAAAAAGCTTGTCCCAAGGACACTCAATACTCGAGTCAATTCTCATGTTTTCTGTTAGAGAGATTCCCAACAGCTGTCTCAAACTGCAGGCTTTCCAATGTAATCCTTCCAACAAGTCTGTATCAATTCAAAAGCCATTTCAAGGAAACAAATATTCAATTACTTTAACTACAGTAAGCCACTACAGCAACCTCATAATACACTGCAGCTTCTGTCTGAGCTGTTTGGAAGCAACAACCCTTCTGCCAGAGGAGATCATCAGCATGTTGATGCCAGCTCCTACAGATTTTGACTGGACTGCTCCAACAGGCTTCACTAGGCTTCAAGAGTCACTGCTGCATTCAGTGAGATGCACACAAAAGGACTTTGTTCACCAGAGGGAGAATAACTGAAAAATATTTGCTGAACAAACAGGCAAAAAATGTGGCCATGCTTTCAACGGGCATATAACCCTTTAAATACACAGTTACACTAAGACAACATCTGCTGACCCATATCCACAGATCATCCAACAACAGCATCACAAAAGCAGTCATATCAATATTGTGGTAATGATTTATAGGAGAGAAGAAAACATCAATGGCAGAGAACTGCTCCTTCCCTTTCCCATAGCAAGAGGGAACTTGAAAGACTATTTGGCAAGAGATAAAGTCATAATCATTGCCTCACTGTATTTTCCTTTATTCAAATTAAATCACACCACCACCCCCCTGCTAATAAATCACATGAAAGGGAAAGCTTTTTGGCGTGATCACATTCCACAGTGACATGCAGTTTGCTATGAGTTCTAATCCTGTATCACTGCCTTGCATCACCTGGCTCTTCATAAACAAGATTATTTTTCAGAAGTTTACCCAGAATACCAGAACTGCATACTCAGCGCTTCCCAAATATTTAGGGCTTCTTATTCACATGCAAGCAGTTTTATACCTATTTGCCACTGGGAAACACTGTTTTCCCAGTGTCATATAAGCAGCCATATGTAGTTAATTTAATGTTTGCCTATGTCAACAATATTCTTCATCGCAAAAGGATGCTGTCTCTTCAGCTGTGCCCATTCAAGCTTTGTGATGTTGTTGTCCAAACTAGGTTCATGAAATGAGTGCTTTAAAAACATGTCCAGACAAATTCTGTGTGCCTACCTGCTCAGAAGCAGACAGAGGAAGTGGTAGAGACCCCAGCTCCTTTAAATATTCATTGGTCTCTTTAGCAAGGCGGTTTGCAGAATGCTGTAGCTGTTGTCTGAAATAAAAGTTCAAAAGCAGTTACACAAGCCTTTACCTAAGAAGCAGATGCTGAGCATTTCAGTTTCCAAAATAGTGACCAAGTAGGCATTCTAAGATCACACACCTTTGATTCTTTTTTCACCCTAATGGAACAGACATGTACTTTTGGCTTTTACCTTCAACTCAACTATGGGCTATGTATTAAAAAAAGATTCAAAGAAATTCTGCGCTCCCTGCTAACTAGTATAATTCAGTTAAATTAATTTAAATACATTTAAAAGATATTTTTCTCCAATAGCATGCAAGAGAAATTCACGGAGAGACAACTTTATTCAGTGAACATAATCTTTTAGGGCAAATTCCTTGTGGTACCAATTAGTAATTAATGATCATTTGATGACTGCCAACTCCATTGGTTAAATGTACATTTTATGAAAGTACACAGATATTAATTTCTTACATTTTGTGAAAATTAATGGTAGAGAGAAAAACAATAAAGGTTCTACTTTGGGAAATGCTAGGCTTTCTTCTCTTGAGCCTTCATGTTTTCCAACAACATTGAATTGAAAGCTATTATTACAAAGGGTCTAGTGCAGCAGCACCTTCATTAGTACCACAACACAGAAAGACACCAGTTACACTGAACTTAATGTAAAGACATCTTGTACACCAAATATGCCGTTTATTAGAAAGAATGCTAGTGCTTCACAGAGAACAGAACTGGAAGTTTTATTTTGCAGCAGTATACACAAGAACTAATAGCGTAAACCAGGACGATACTAAATACTAAACCAAGAACCAATTTTTTTGGCATTCAATGGATGCAGCCCAATAGATATACGAATCAAAGTACTCAGCCTGCATTATTGTGTAAGTTGACCTGCATTATATAAGCTGAATAAAGCATCCACACATTTTAGTATTAAGTCTGTATGGCAACTGACAGTCTGTGGAATTCAATCACTCTCAACTTAAAGAGGAGGGCCATTTCTACAATGAAATTAAATGGAAAGACATTAGTTTGGTCACCAAATTAGTCCAAGTAGTTCTTTAATCTACCAATAAATACAGACTGAGTCAACTGAGCAGCTCTCCCAGCTATGCTTTGATCTCATCCTTCAACTATGGTAATGGCTACATACACTACAAGTTATGAACGTACCCAAAAATCAGCTATTATAAAAAATGGGGATGTTGCATATTCAGGGATTCAAGGCACAGTCACATGAAGAGATAATGGAAGAACTTACTGTCAAGTTTTCTTTCGTGACTCCGGAAATTACTCTTCTCATAACTTGCTATTTATGCTTCACAAGTTTTTAGAGAGTTGCACAGACCTACAGACTCCCTGTTCCATCTCTCTGGGAGTCAGTTTGGACTATGTCTGTTAAATGTTTTCTAGATTGTCCCCCACTGGCATATTATTCTTCTGAAATTACAAGTAGCATTTTGACTTCCACATAGGATTGTTAATCCTTCTAGTGTCTAAATCCATCTGTACTACAAGATACTTTTTCATCAATTATGGATCTTCCTTGCTGTTTTTCCTTATTGCTCTTATGTGAGGAAGAAGTACCTAGTACAGCAGTCATTCTAAACCACAAGTGAAGCTAGTACAGCTAGTCCTTGGCATACAGCTAATTCAAGCCTGAGGTACTGCTATGTTTTTTAAATAAGCTGTACCATTTCTAACCATTCCTATCCAGCAGTTTTGAATGGATTCTCCAGAGCCCTGCAGAAACACCTTAATTCATCCAGTAAACTACTTAACACGGATAGTCATTTTTTGTTTGTAGAACTGTATTAAATTTATCTAATAAAGCATCTCCCCAAAGCAAGTAACTCAGTTCCTCTAAGAACACAGACAGAAATGAAAGACAACCTACACAAATGTTAGCTCATTTAATACTTACAAGTTCTCCTGAAGCTTGCTGGAATCCTGCTTGGTTCCCAGCTGGCTCATTAAATTCTTTATCTGAACAGCTGAAGATAAAGACATCACAAGATGAGTTAGTAAGACAAGTTACAGTGTATTTTATTCCTTCCTGAATGCATTCTTCTCACTTTCCCCACAAGATTTCTCTCAATGTTTGACTTAAGCTAGTAAGACAAAACTCACATTCTTTGCTTTAAATGCAAAGTGTATTTTGAACATCCAGGCTAACAGACTAACTTTCAGATAAGAGAGTGATAGTGAGGCATACATACCCTGAAGATAAGTCTGTGAAGCTAAAAGCTTACACCTTCCTCTTCCTAAACCTTTTTAGACCAACTAACAGAACTGTTTGTTTCTACTGGCCTTGCTATTTCTGTACTTTAGGCTATTGGTGCTGCAGAACAACTTTACTATGCTGTGTTACCACTTGTACATCTTCTACTTACTTAAATTATTAGTGCTCTGTTAAAAAAAAAAAAAAAAGAAAAGAATAAGAAGAAACCAAGGGTTCCTATCAGGTAAAAAAAACCAACTGATTTTTTTCTACTTGTGACAGCCCAAACCTTTCACAATACTGGCACAAACGATCTTTCAAGAACAGTGGATAGCAATGGTGTGCTTCACTATTAGCTTGCATCACATTGAAATCATGTTGTAGTGAGAAGAGATGATCTAGCCCTCATGTTATTCCACTATTTTCCTTGTGTAGGCTCTAGTGATCATGCAACCACACAATGAACCACACCAAACCATTAGCCTACCTGAAAAAACAAGTAGCATCTTCTCTCATCACTCCCTCTACCTTAGAAGATTATTTTTTGACAGATCATGAAGTTGATCTGCTTTATTCTGCAACTGCACAATTTTTAGCATTAATAGATTCAGGGCATATCACTTATGATGGCAGTACAATGCTTGATTGGTTCAAATCAATCATGAAACTGTATGAGCGTTGAAAAGGCAAGACCGAGGAGGATCAACTTATAGTTCTACAGGCAGCTGAATCCTGTTGAAATGGCTGAGGAGTTTAACAGGAGCTACTCCCAATTCAGTGATATCCTGCTGGTGTAATTTCTGCTTTCAGCCTGGAGCAAGCCACTTCAGTTTGCTGAAGGAACATCAGAGTCCTACAAAGATCACTTCTTTTAAAGCGATGTCCAATGGCTTATAACAATGGCAGCTCAGCAAGGCTGAAATGTGATTTAATCAGTAATTTTGCAAGTATTCCAGCTTGTGCATCCAGTGAGAATATTCTCACTGGGAATTCTAGACTCCTGTTAGCTCATACAGTGAGCTGTTGAGCAACTCCTCATACACTGAGCTGAACACAGCTTCTAGCAAGCAAGACATGCATTTCACAGCTCTGTCAGCCACAGGAGGCCAGAAAAGTTCATAGTCAAATTAAAATGGCAAATGGCACACAAACTATACTCTCTGTGTGGACCTCAAGGACTCTGCAAATAGCATTTGTGCTATACTGTCTAGATACTCTGCGATATACTTTTTTCTCTCCACTGGGGTAGATTCTTGCACGAGACCCATTTCCACACCAGGTGATGTGCTTTTTGTCCTGGTCTGAGCCAGGTTCAGTAGTTCGCTATGCTCAGTTTATTTCAGCCAACAGCAACACACAGAGTCTACATAAAGTGAGAGCATAGTGCCTGGGAGGCCAAAGGAAGGGGCTGGACCTCTTTATTCTTTGGATAATGGGCACACATACCAACACAGAGAGCCCCTTCAGTCAACAGCTTTCAGTCCCCAAACCCAGTCAGCCTTCAACATACTGACTGTAAAATACACTTAAGACTACTTAAAACATTTCAATCTCTGCTCTAGATGCTTAGATAATGTACCAGTTTGCAAGCAACAGTTTTGCCATCTCAGGTCACTGTACATTTTGTGTGAACTACAGGGTTTCTCAGGAGTGAATAATTGTCAGCTGTGTCCACTGTTTGCCTGATGTTTTCCCTCTAGGAAACAAAAGGGGAAATGAGGACAGGCTTAAGGTTTCAGTATCTCTTCTCCTCTTAGGCTTGAATGGAAAGCTTTTATAAAACCTGTAGTAAAGTTCATTACCATGATGTTACGTCAGATGTTCTGTGTGTTCCCACCCACCTTGATAAAAACTGTAAGGCTGTTTGTTTCATTTGAGATAGGATGGCTGCTGGTCATGAGTCAGTGCAAGGGGAGGCTCACAGAGAGGAGTCGGGAGGAGTGTGTAAGGACCGAAAAAGGAAAAAAAAGAAAAAGGAAAAAATCCAGACAACCCATGTTATTTGGTGAACTTAGCAATTCAACCAGCAGTCATACCTATACAAAGAGGAAATGAACATGATGGAGCAAGCAAAGCATTTTCAGCAATATTAATAGTTTAATATAATCAGATTGGAGAAGTCCCCAACTTTCAGAGGAAGCACCATATTCAACTGATCCTGTCCCTAAAAAACTGAATGGGTACTTGGGACAGTTAATGCCTTTTTTTAGCAAAGGCAGTATCTTTAGGAAGGAGTTATGTCAAAGACTCTTATTTAGTAAGCAATATTTCAGCAATCAATACTGTAATTTCAATGATTAGCTTACAATTCCAATAACGTTCTCTAATGACAACCACAACATGACCAAGAAACTTCAATGCCATCTACTTGATGACAATCTGTTCAGCAGCAGCACACTTCCCTGCAGAACCCTGCTGACACGCTCAGGGGAAACAGACGTCAGCTTTCAGAAATCTCTGCAACAGCAGCTTCTCCCAGATGCCCCACACAAGGCAGGGTGACAAACTCTGGCTCCCTGCTTCTACTTAAGTACCTCACTGAAGGTACAAAAGGTGATCCAGGAGCCGGGCTCTTGCCAGGAGAGCCAGAGGGCGTCAGTCCCGCTGGGAAGAGCGCCGCTTGGTACAAGTGACATAAACACCGCATCCGAAGTGACAGGAGGGCGCATCAGGCGCAGGCCAGGGCGGCAGAAAAGCTGTTCATTACAACGCGCGGAGGAGGAAGCTCAGCGACCAGCTGGCGTGTGGCCCCGGCGAAGTGAGGCTCCGGCCGCCCGCAGGCCCCTGGTACTGCGGCCGGGCCA